CTCCTTGTGGCTGACATTAACTCCACTGATCCATCTACCAGTTTCTTATAATCGACTGAAAAAAGTTGCTTTAGGTCTGTCCCACAGGATCCGGATGAAATATATCATAATGAATGAACCATGTAGTTTTAAATTATCATCTTCCTCTGGTTCATTGTCTAAGCATCACTTTGGGTACATTTAGAACTGAATGTTGGATTAAATAAAACTTTAATTGAATACTATTTTGAAGAGATATGTAAATAAGGATGGCGTTAGGCTTTTTACTGTTTGGCTCTCTCACTTCTTGTACAACTTTACTGTTCAAAGTGAAGAGGTATTGTTTCAGTCTGTCATCCGTATTATTGTTTCAGTGTAAAAAAAAAAACTTCTGTAAAATGATAGTAATTGTTTAAAGGCTGAGCAAACAGAACTGTGATAAAAAAAAAGGAACAATGATGCACATGGTCAAAACAAAATCACGCTCTGACATTTTGCTGATAGATAAAAAAAAAAAAATTGATTCTAATCACATATTTAAAAGCATAGACATAGAAAAAAAAGAGTGTGTATGAAATGTCCCCAGGTAGACAGGTCTGCTAAAATCCTGAAATACAAAAAAACACTAATTAGATAGCAAAAAGGAATAAACCAGGAAGAAACGACTATGGATTATCTAAATTTTATGAGTAAATATCCAAATACCTCTGAAGTCAACCGTTTAATATAAACCTCAGAGCTGTGTAAAGGTTTAAACCTAAACCTTTTTTTATATTGGAGTTCTCTTTTGTCCCAGACCTGCATTAATTAGCCATTGGAAAAATAATATTATAAGACCACCAGTTATCTGTCACTGGTAAGATATTGAACATTTACATTAACTCAACAGCAGCAAACCTCTGAAAAACACACCCTTTAAATATCTTTATTGAACTTACTAAGCAGTAAACTTTCTGGCTTTTGATATTGTATCAGGGTATTATCAGGGCAGGCCAGTTTTTTTTATCCAATGGTAGATTTAGGGATTGACTAATTTTAGTTTTATTTTTTCCATCTTTCAAGATCTTTAGGAGAAAACCAGATAGAGTTCTGACATTGATCTGTAGAGTGAACTTAAACTTGAATGAATGAATGAAAGAAAATCTTCCTTGGTTTTGGAGCCCATCATCAAAGATGAGTTGTTATAAATCCAGTGGACCTTCATTGGCATTACTTATTAAGTATAATATGAATAAATTATGGTTGCAACTAACTATGTTTTTGATAATCAATTAATCTGTGGATTCTTTTTTTTAAATTAATGATTATAATCAGATAGCAAATCAAAACTGTTGCACATTGACAGAAGAAAAACTTTCATTATTCTAAATGCAACATATTTACACATATTTCTTCACAATTTTGGTGTAATTACTTCTCTAAGTGGGTATTTCTATCAACTTAAGGCCTGTTTTAGACTCTATACCCTACCGATTAATCAATTACTAAACTAGTTGACGGTTATTTCAATCATTGTTTAATCCAAATAATTGTTTCAGTTCTGATATAAATTTTACATTAAAACTGTTCTACGATGTTTTAATAATTATTTTCTTTTAAAAACAAACTTTTGGAACCACTAAAATGGACTATAAAAATTACATTCTAGGATTTCTTACACTGTTAGCTCTTTCTTGTTGGTTAAACTCTGTAAGAAGGGTAATTAAAAACAGATCAAAACTTAAATATAATCCAAGTTTCCCTTATTTTTGAAATCTTGCATCTTTGTTAAAGGCACTATGTAGTCTCCAAGGGATCTGCTTTAATATCTGGATGGATGTGTGAAAACAGTGTTTGGCTGAGCCTATATGCACTAAATGCCTGCTATTCTCCACACTGTATGCAAACCCTTATTTTATAATTCACCGTCTGTTCCTGATTACACACACACACACATTCATATGTGAATGGACCTTCCCAAAACACACACATAATTGCCACGAATGCACACATCCACACGTTAAGTGCCATGTGTTATAGTGAGCTGTCAGACCGCACTAATTCCTCTTTTTAATGTGTGTCTGTCCTACTGTGTTGCGGGGGGATCAGGATTGCTTTTCAGGATAACAACTGAAGCTCTAAGCTTTTAGTGTGTGTGGGTGAGTGTGTGTGTGTGCGTCTGGGTGAACAACAATTGGCCACTAAGCTGCAAAGAGCCTCGCAGCCTCCGCGTCGCCAACAAATATCCACTGGCTGTCAGCAGCGGACTGACTCTCTTGTGTTTGTGTGTGTAAAGGCATGCAGATGAACCAACTTCCTGTGGCGGATTGAAGTTAAGTGCAGCCATTAAGACTTGGGCCCTCCAGTGAAGCTTTCATTGTCTGGGGGGGAACTTTATTCTGTTGGCGGATACGCACACGTGTGCAAGAATACGCAAGCATCGGGACAAATGCACGCCTGCAGGTCCAGATTTTACCCGTTTACCATGAGCAAAGACTCTCCTGCTGCTTGCTTGGTGTCCTCTTTTGCACGCCCTCTGCTTTATACCCACCCACTAAACCTTTATGACAAATGTGCTCCCTAGTCGGTGTGTGTTTGCTTTCTCGGCTGCTGTAATCTTCTTCCTTAAGGCATAACAGTAGTTCAGCTGTCACTGGGACTGATTGAGCAGCAGAAGGTACATAGAAGGCACATAATTTACCTTGGAAGCTTAGGTTGTGTGGATGACTACCCTTTCCTGTTGAAAAGAGCATCAAACTTGTTAATTGTGAGCTGAGCAGATTTCACCTCTTTCAGCACCTCGACTAAAACTTTAAGTATGACAGTAGCAGAGGACAAGCTCAGTGGAAAGTTAAACCACATTCAGGTGGTGGTGGGGGGGTGCGCCTCGGCTTTGAGCTTTACACGCATTCATCTGTCAGCCGCCCACATCGGAAAACATAAAAGAAAAGTTCCACTTTCTGAGAAAACGTCTTCACCGGTAGAGCAGAGAGTAAGGTGCGATGTCTGATTTTGTTTTGGGTTTTTTTTTTTTTTTGGCCCCCCTTCTGTTTTTTGAGCATCCCTGTTTCACACAGACAGCTTTGTTCAATCTCATTCTGAGCATTGTCTTTTTAGCCATATGAAGAAAAGCCATTTTTAGAAAGTGCTAAAAAGGGTTATAAAACAAGTACATTTTTGTCTGAATAAAATGGGACCTCGGGCAAGGCTGGAAATGTTGTAAGAGGTGAGAGCGGATAGAAGTTCCCCTCTATCATATGAGATACGCTAAAAAAATCATAGGGCCTTAATTTTTTATTTACTTTGAAGATAACCTGAGTAAAAAAAATTAAAAAAGGGGGGGAATGATTATAATGGATTTATTACATTTATTGTTCTACCTACCTTGAGAACTATAAATGAAAATATGGCGCAATGCTTTTCTTTCTGTATATGGTCCTAAATACAGCAGTAGAAAACAATAAAAATAAAAAAATAAAACTTTTAAGTCACCATATTGCCTGTAAAACCTATTCCTATTTTGTTTTAAAGTTGATATTAAAAAAAGTTTACCAATTATAACTTGGTAAGCAAACAGCTTTTTTCCATAAAACATTCCATTTTCCTATAAACTACTTAACTTGAATCCTGGTTTGACCTTCAATCCTGCAAGGGGAATTCTGACCTTATTCAGATTTCACCATCGTTGAATATAAAGCCTTTGCATGCTGATAAAAGTTGTATTTTTTTTTTTACATTTTCATACAGGAGAGCAAACCTCCGTCATTTCCCGGCAATCGGTGGCTCTGTTTTCCCTCCCCGCCCCTGCTCTTTCACAGGGCTGTTTGATTGCTTAAGCCTGGTCCTGTCACACAGACAGACAATGCTTCCATGAAGAATAGCCCCGCTTCCTTCCTGTCTTCCTGTGCTGCGTTCTGCCTTGGTGAACATGGTGAATGGGCCGCTCTGCCCCAAAACGCCACGAACCGCAGGGGCCACGGTGGCTAAAACCAACAAAGAGAGCCCTTCTCGGGCCTTACCAAGCCCCCCCCTTCTCTCCCCCTTCGATTCATATCCTGTCCTCCTCCTCCCTCTACTCTGTTGCCAAATCCCTTGCAACTTCTCGATGGATAAACACTCTCTGGACCGGATCTCTTTGGATTTTCTGGTGTATCAGCCAAATAAGTCTCTATTGGATGATTTTGGACAAGCTAACAAGTAATCAAGGAGGTTTAGAATTGCAAATCATTAAATGACAGTTGATTTTTAGTAAAAAAAAAAAGAATTAATAAAAATCCAACAGTGTGCACCCTCTGCCCCCCTTTCCAAACAACTCAGCAATCTCCCTTAGGGAATACCAAGTGGTAGCAGGTACCCGAGAAGAGCGTAGGGGTGCCAAAAAAGCCCCCTAACTATTGAGAACAGGATGAATGCATAAGGGGCTGAAAAAGGGGTAAACTGTTTGGTCTTTGTCATTCAAAGTGACGCTTTTAACCCTTAGCGGACCCTCTTCCAAACAACCTTAGCCCCCATCTCACTTGCGCTTCCCTTCTTCATTCACAGCTGACACAATGCAGAGTGAGAGGAGGGCTGCAAAGACTAAACACCAGATCAACTCTGCTTTTTCTGCCTCTAATAGGATTCAGCCCGTTTATTTTTTTTTTTTTATCTCTTCCACCACTGTCTGTAAAATGGGGGCAAGTTTATAATTATGTAAAACAACCCCCTTTGTCAGTCAAAGGCAGGGGATGGGGGGTGATGGGGGTGACGGTGCATCGAACAAGCGAGAGCAGGCTTGGCCTCAACATGTCAATCACAGCTTTGAATGCATACCGGCCTGCACGCTGTCAACAAGTGTGAGGAGCTTCATGTTTTGCCTGCAGGGACTTCCAAAACAGGAATTCCAAAACAAAACTTGGACTAAAGAGAAAAAAAAAAGCTAACGACAATAGCAACAGAAAATAAAGTCGAAAGAGGCATAGCATTTAGATCGACGTTCCATACTGTTCATAACACTCATTTGTTTTTTTTATTGTCAGGCAACAGAAAGCACAATACCTCTGTTAGATTTCAAGGCTTTTTAATTTCATATGTTAATATGTTCATATTCTAATCCATGGCAAGCTGTTCAGGTCAAATCTGCCGAGCAGCCCCGGAGAAGGCTAACGCCTTTTAGCAATGTTTTCTCAAAATAAATATTTCTCCTCATAAAATATTAAAACCTTCAAATAAATATATCTTCTGAACTTTACACTAGGCAAATTTTGGAATTAGAAAATATACTTTTCATATAAGGTCACTGTACAATTTACAGGTAGAATCAGAACTAAGATCTTTCTGTCGTAAATTATTCAAAAATATGATTGATAGACATGACAGTGAACGCAGGAACTTTGCAGGAATTTTAGCTGACTGATCCAAAAACAAGCAGTTAAACCAAAGTGCCTCTGGAACAACAGAGAACTTTTCACAGTTGATACATATATATATATATATGTATACTTTTTTACAGTATTTATATAAAACATTTGTCATTTTCTATTGTACGTCCTTACTCCATTACTACGTTACATACAGTTAGTGACATATAGAAGTTTCCTTTGAGAGTACAGTCTATATAAAATGTTAATAATAGAACAACCCAAAGCCATCTGCGTGGACTGTATTAGGTAATATCACGGCACTTGAGTGAAGAGAATTTTTATTTTAAGACAAAACAGTAGTTAAATAAGATTTCATACCTTGAAATGTGGAGTGCTTATTTTGGTTGACCTTTCAAGTGAAACTCCTAACTCTAGGGTGAGTAAATGCACCTCCAGTGCCTTTACCGGTTACATTTTATCCCCCCGACATCCCAGATGGATGTAAAGACAGCAACCAAAATGACATTATTAGATGATTCTAATCACACTGCTTGACATTTTGCAGTTCAGTCAGAGTGGAGGGTGGTCAATCCATGCCTGTTTCCATCCTGGCCTACGTTTGTGTGCTATCGTCATGACAGCGGGTTGGGGTTGGGTTCTTGCATCGACACCCAGGTCGTTTGACTCCGTCATAGCAGCACTGGCACATGGCCAGGCATCCTTTAGCTGGGAGGTAGCACAACAGACAGGGGAAGAACAAGGACAAGAACGAGATGGTGGTCCAGCGAACACAGCAGTGCGACTGAGAGCAGGAGCACGGCTTGTCCGCGCAGGTGTCCTCATCGTCATTGGAGCAGTGGTAGAAAAGGCCCTTGATGCAGCAGATGCATGTCCCGTACTCCACGGTGTTGTATGGTGAACACAAGCAGCGCTGGCCACACAACCAGCAGGAGGGAAGCGCCCTCGGCCGGGCGCACTCCGAGCACCTGCACCGGCCGCAGGACCCACATTTGTTTGAGTGTTTGTCCTTTTTTAAAGGGGTTTTGCTGCCTGGGACGCTTTCTATGTCTCTGCACTGATCATTCAGAGGTTTCAGCTCCTCTGAATTTGGCTCTGAGCGTTTTGGCTGGTTTCTGATTATCTCATTGCCAGTCACTGGGCTGCTGATAACCCCCTGACCCAAAGGACTACTTCCTGCAATGCTTCGGATGCTTTCCTGGGAGACCTCCACAACAGAAGCCTGGGACACACCCTCTCTTGAAGAGACGGCTGTATTTGCGTTCCCGCGATGAGTCACTGCATACAGATTTCGGAGGTTGTTGGCCCTCTCTTCCTCATTCTCCTGCTGTCTATTGGTCCTTTGACCTGTTGATGTAACCACATCAGTCCTCCGTTGCTGGGTGGCTGGAGACCTTTGAGCAGCCGAGGGTCCATCTGTATACTCATTACTACCACCACTTATTCTTATCTGATCCAGAGACAACACTGGTGGAGTGTGTGGCCGTAACCTGCAGTTCAGCCCGGGATCTGAGGGACTCTCTATGGTTTGCAGAGACCCTGGTTGTGCTCGCCCTTCGTCATGCGCCATGTTTGCCAATCCAGTCGATGAGGCCAACACCCCATGGAGTCCTCCTCCTCCGTCGCTGTCGTTCTGGCTTCTGGAATCCATCTTGGGACTGAAGGGCCTCTGTAGCCGGCTGGGGACACATCTGAAGTCCTGTTGGAGAGACAGAAAGTTTTTATCCCTGTAAGACAACCCATGCAAATGATGTCATGCAAATAATGACAGATATCTGTAAAAGCACTGCTATGGAAATAAGCCCTACACACAGGTCAGTGTTAGGAGGAGAGATGGATCCGTTTGATTACAAAGTTGTTCTAATAACCTAAAGCTCAGGGGCAGCATCTGTTTGGACGCCCAGATTCAAAGTCTGACATTAGAGGGGAGTCTCTGGAGCCACAAGCTACAGACGCTCTTTGTGTGCACTCAGAAACAGGGAAGTTTGTTTGCTTGGGGGCATATTGAGTTCCACAGCCAGGCTTTATGTTTTAAAAGCAATATCTCATCTGAATGCAGATGCTTCCCTGAAGGCTGTTTGTTAAAAACTTCCTGCTTCCCCGCACCCATGACAGCGTTGAATAGCCATTGCCAAAGGGAAGAAAATTCACTTCCTCTCTGATCGAGCCTTAAAAAATACTCACTTTCCATCTTCTTTCATTACATGAAAAACCTGCACAGAAAAGATTTCTAATCTAAACCGGAACAGGGTTAACCTTTTTCTTTTTTAAAGAGCTCAAATGCTGGTGATCAATGTTCAGCATTTTCACATGGTTTTATTGAGCTCTGGCAGAAGCCATACTCAACCACCACTCAAAGAGAAGACCCCAACACTAAAAGCTCTGACCCACATACTTTAAATATTACAAGTCGGTGAGATATCCAGGGTCAAGATACATGTTGACACACTGAACTTCAATGGAATAAAATAATGTTAATCTGTGCCGACAAAAAGAAGCCAACCTCAGTAGTTCGTATAAGATTAAGAGTTGTATTTTTTCTTCTCAATTGAGGACCAACCTGCTCAGGTTTGACAACATATAAAGAACTATTGTCTGATGAATGACAAAAAAAATACAAGGAACACCCATTCTGTTTCACCTATTATTTGCATTGCTGTGTTTTTAAGAGCATGAAAGACAAGATGAAAGCACCACAACAAAAAGGGCCCCAGGTGAGTAGGGGTGTGGGAAATAATCGTTTTGGCGATATATCGTGATATTCGGCTGCCCAATATAATATCGATCTTTCACTTCTTAGTATCGATTTAAAAAAAAAATGGTTACATAAAACAGTGATGGGAAAATGGGCTACCTCTGCACCACCACTCTGGCAGAAAGCGCTGTGGAGCCCTTTAACTGTGCGTGCAGCACCAAATCTGTATTTGAGGCAGTCACAGTGGAAGAAAACCCCAAACAACATGTATAATAATACCTAATCAATATTTTCTGATGAAAATATACAGCACTTGCTGTTTTATCTCATCATTTGATTTTGATAGCCGGGGAAAATATGGCAATATATAGTGATACTGCAATATCGTGATAATATCGTATCGTGACCCAAGTATCGCGACATGTATCGAATCACAACACTCATGCCAATACTCACCTCTACAGGTGAGTGTAAGAGTGTTTGTGTTTTGGGTAGGGTTTGACTAGTGGAAAGAATCTGAACATTCTTCATGTGATTTTTGTGAATTTGCCCGCCTCTATCTGGGCTCAGGTTATGTTGTTACTTATTGGTACACCCAGGCATTACGTTCAGTCTTGGCTGACTTCCTTTTTGTGTCTGCGTACTTATCATTGCCAACAACCTTATTTCCTCTTGTAGTTATGGATACTGATCAATTATAGTGAAAAAAAAGTTTTTTATTCTGACTAATAATTAGTTTATGGTGTATAGATTTTATATCACGTTATTTCGATTCAGGGTTTTATAACAGGAACAATTATAGTCTATGTAATACTGCAAAATATATAATTAGGGCTGCAACTAACGATTATTTTGCAAATCGATTAATGTGTAGATTATTCTTTCGATTAATCGATTGATAACATGATAGCCAAAAGTTCCTTGAAGAAGATTTTTTTACAAAAGTAAACCAGGTTAAACTAAAACTTTTCAACTTGAGGAGTTCTATATAGAGCATATTGATAGACAAATATATATATTTTTTATTTTAAATGCAAAATGTTTGTATAATTTTTCACAATTTTGATGTAAAAACTGCTCTGAATGTGTCACTCTCTCAGCTACAGGCTTGTTTTAGTCTCTATACTACAGTTAATGAGTAATGAATTACTAAATTAGTTGATGATTATTTCAATAGATTGAGAAACAATCTTCGACTCTTGGAATGTTATCCACACGATATGAACCAGGCCAGGCGACTTGGTGTAAAAACACTTTAGTTTTACAGTTAGGTCCTTTTAACGAGATCCAACATAAATGATCAGGAGTGCAAATTTCCAACAGTGTTTGGAGCAGGTTGCTGTGCTCTGCCAGTTAGCTGGCCTGAAATAAGGCTCCTATAGGGTTTGTTCAATGCCATGGTAGTAAATATTTTAGGTTTCTGTAACTTATTGGTTAAATTTTACATAAGTTATTTGTGTGCATACCTTTTCTTGTTGACTTTTGCACCCTGTTTTAGTAATATTAATTAATCAAGCCCTTTTTTGTAACATTTTACAGTATAAAATAAGTTATTAAAGCCGGTATGATTCTGGCCAATATTTTATTGAGTCAATGTCATTACTGGCTAATTCTCAAAGCTAAAGTATCGTATCGGAAGTGAAAAAGCTGTATAAGGACTAACGATTATTTTAATCTGATAAATCTGACAATAATTTTTTCGACTACCGATTAATAATTGGAGAGCAAAAGGCCCCTTAAAGAAGATTTGATATCAAACTAAAGCAGGTGAAACCAAAACTTTTCCACTTGATGAGTGGAGAAAGAGCACATTGACAGACAAATACGTTTTTTTTTTAATCTTAAATGCAAAATGTAATTTTTTTTTTTACAATTTTGGTATAATTACTGCTCAAAGTGGGTTACTCTGTTAGCTAAAGGCAAGTTTTACAGTCTCTATACTCCAGTTAATTGATTACTAAATTAGTTGAAAACTATTTCAGTGATCAATTAATCACAATTAATCCGATTGGTTCAGCCCAAATCAACACCCCCCTAAAAAACCTGACAGTTTTGGTATGGAAACTAGCAGGAGAGCCACTTGTCACTGTTATTAATGCAAGATGGTTTAAAAATAAAGTTAGTCCACTCTGTTCGTTATATTTGTAAAGCAGCAGACTGCTGGCCCGCTGCCAGCTAATTAACCATATCTAACAGCTTGCTTATTCTCAACAAAAGTCTAAAAAGAGAAAGTCATCAAAAAGAATAACATTTGTACAAAATGTACAAAATTTCTTTTTTAAGATATTTAATCATAATTTTTATTTTTTTTAGTTCAAAAGCAAAAGTGACATTATCGTACCTGTAGCAGTAAGTCTTCAAATTTTAGCCACAAACATGAATATGTTCTCCTTCATGCCCTTAAAATTAAAGCAAATCGACCATCTTACGGTTTTTCAAGTAAAAATATTTCTCAGTGTCAAACTTGCAATTTTCTTTATGTGCTAGTAGAATCTCTTTTGACACCGTATGTGGAGAAAACGGTTATATAACGGTCAAGATACTCGCATTATATCATGCAGCTGCGATAAATGTCAACAAAGAGAAATGTTTCAGACGGGTCCCATTTTTTTGGTCCCCATAAAAGTCAAAGGGGCAAAGACACCATTGCAAAGTGGCGTATGTGCACAGGAACCAGCGACTGGGGGGTTTTGCAGGCATGCTCACACTGAAGGCTGACAGAGGAGGGGCCCCTCGTCTACTCAGGGGTGCAGAGTGCAGGCCATGTTGGTCGCAGTGTGTGGGACAGAAAGCACAGGGCTGTGGTGCTGTAAAATAGGCGAAGGGATTTTTAACTGATTCCTAAAAGGAAATATGAAGGGTTCTCAAAATTATGTAAAAATAACACATGGATTTGTATTCAGCCTTTTTACTTTGGTACATCTGAATAAAATCCGGAAATCAAGAAGCAAATGGAGGCCAGTTTTGTGTAATGAACATCCAGGTGTTCTTTGAAGGTGTTTTTTTTGTTTGACGGCATTTAACAACAAAAACAGCATCAAGAAGGCCAAAGAATGCAGCCGAGAAGTCAGGAGGAAAACTTTGGAGATGTTTAAAGGAAGGTTCAGGTTGAAAATACCCAAAACTTCTGTTCAATCCATCATCTAGAAAAATGACAATAAATGCAAACCTACCTAGATGTGGTCTAGCACATAAACTCACCTACAAAGCATTAAACAGATCAAGAGCCAAGAGTAATGTGGGAACTTTAAAGGACCTGCATGTCCAAAGCCCATTTGTGCAGCATACGATGTTTGTTACAAGCCATGAGAGGAACACAGAATATAATGCAGAAAACCGTGCTCTCAGAAAATGAGACTTTTGTATGTAGGCCATGTTTTGACCTACATGCCAAACACCATGTTTGGAGAGAACTCTTTGCACACACCACGGCGGTGGCAGTGTTGTGCTGTGGGGAAATGGTCATATTGATGGGGAGATGGATACAAGAGGCTGCAAAAGATTGAAGAAAGGGGTGAAGGTTCGTCTTCCAACACGACAGCAACCCTGATAAATCATTCTTTTTCTGTCAGAACAACAAAAGGATAATCAACCTGTTGGTTAAAATTCAAATGCAAATTCAGAACTTGCAAAAGGCCTCCTTCCAATCTGCCTTATCTGCAGAAAGGATCTCTAGTTGGTTCTTTAGAGAACACTAAAGGGGACTAAACACATATGCAACTCACTTTACAAACCTTAAATACTTATATTTTCACGTCAAAGCCCTGTAATTAATTTGTGTTGATCCATAGACATCTAAATAATCAACTGTGCATTAAAAATAAGAAAAGAAATCCACTTTATTCAGTCGAATTCATTTTAGATTAAGCAAAAAAGTTATTTTTTTCCAATAAAAGCCAATTATTAACATTAAAGCACGCAGTTTAATTAATTCTGATTGAAAGCAAACAAGGTAAAGAAATGTATTTAGCCAATAAGTACGTATTGTTTAATAAACAACCTTCTTTGTTTATACATGTGTAATAAAAAGCGCTCACTCACCGTGTTTTCGACACTTTAGCTCCAGTTCAGGCAAAATAAGTCAAAATTTCCGTTTTTTTGTTTTCTTTTCACTCCCGCAGCTCAGTCGTGAAAGCCGTCTGCGAAATCCATTGAGAAACTTTCCAAGCGTCGCTCATTTTCACCAGCGCGCTGCGTTCACACGTCAATCCCGTGCGTAAAAGAGCACGAGGCATTGAAAACATCAGTCCAACTCCTCTAAAAAGTCAAGAAAAGAAGGAAAACGCGTAAAAAAAACACCCTCCAGGCTCGGAGATATCTTCTCGCAGTGTTCAATCTTACACACTGTGGGGTAGAAAACTATTTTTTTTTCTTCTCGTGTTTTTTTTTTATTTTGTTTTTTGTTTTCTCTCTCTTTTTCCGGGGAGGAGGTCGGGATCTGGGCCGTGCATGGCGTCAAAGAGAGAGAGAGGAGGGGGGGACAAAGTGCTTGTTGTTGCAGCGGATATCTCGCATCCGGTCCTCAGCCATTGGCCCCTAGAAAAGCAGGCGCTCACACCCCAGTCTGATCAATTTCAGCCTCTGCATGTCCTGCATGGCCTCTCAAAAAACTTTCTGCTTTTCTTATCGCCCCTGACCCACTTCTTTACCCCGCCACGTTACTTTTCAGGCACAACAGAGACACATGGCTGTGCTTTGTTTATTTTTTCAAGAGTTTAAAAAAGACAGAACACAATAAAATTACCTTATATTATTATATTAATAGGGTAAATGCTCATTGAGTAATAAACCTGACTTAATTGATGAGGCTTCGTGTGGATCTACATTTATTGAAAGCAGTTCTGGATTTAAATCATGCTCTTTTTCCAACGCCACCTACTGGTTATTTGTATGGAGGGCCAGGAGTGTATCTGAAAAAGGAAATAAATAAATAAATAAATTAAATGTAACATTTAAATCATAAAATTTGAAAATTGTTCATTTTGAATTGAATTGTTTAATCGTAATTGTAAATTGTATTTATTAATTCATCTCCAATCTATTTTTTAGGGGATAAAAAAAATAAATAAATCCGATCATAGATACCTTTCCGACTCATATATATATATATATATATATA